TTATTTAATTAATATATTGAATTGTGTCATTGGTAGGCCGAGGATGGAATTGGAATTATTCAATTATTTAATTATTGAATTGTGTCATTGGTAGGCCGAGGATGGAACTGGAATTATTTATTTAATAATAATTAATATTTAATTATTAATAGGCCGAGGGTAAAAGTCGAGGTATTTAATGGTATAATTAATAGGGTAATTTTTGAAATATGCAATGATATTCATAGGATCAACTTTCAGATATTGAATGCAATTAATAGGAAAAATTTGAACTATTTAATTTTGAAATGTTGAATGATATTACTAGACATAGGATAAAAGTTGAGGTATTTAATGTTCTAATTAATAGGGTAATTTTTGAAATATTCGTAGGACCAAATTTCAAGTATTGAATGTAATTAATAGGAAAAATTTGAACTGTCCAATGTTAGAATGGGACAAATTTTGTAATATTGAATGAGATTACTAGACATAGGATAAGAGGTGAGATATTTAAGGTTATAATTAATAAGGTAATTTTTGAAATATTCAATGATATTAATAGGATCAAATTTGAAATACTGAATGTAATTAATAGGAAAAATCTGAACTATTTAATGTTAGAATAGGACAAATTTTGAAATGTTGAATGATATTACTAGACATAGGATAAAAGTTGAGATATTTAATGTTATAATTAATAAGGTAATTTTTGAAATATTCATAGGATAACATTTGAAATATTGAATGTAATTAACAGGAAAAATTTGAACTATTTAATGTTAGAATAGGACAAATTTTGAAATATTTAATGATACCATTACTGTAAATAGGATAAAAGTTGAAATATTTAATGTTATAAGGTAATTTTTGAAATATTCAATGATAGTAATAGGATCAAATTTGAAATACTGAATGTAATTAATAGGAAAAATCTGAACTATTTAATGTTAGAATAGGACAAATTTTGGGATATTTAATGATACCATTACTAGACAGGATAAAATTTGAAATATTTAATGTTATAATTAAGAGGGTAAATTTTGAGATATTTAATGATATAATTACTAGACATATGACAACATTTGAAATAATGTAACTAATAGGATGAGTTTTGAAATATTTAATGATATTATTAGCAGACTTAGGGTAAAATTGGAAATAATGATACAATTAATAGACTGAGGATGGACAGCTGCACTTGCCTTAAGACAAAATTGTCCCTTCAGAGGCTCTTTCTGCCCAGGAATAAGGATTAGTTTTAATAATAACCCCATGGCCAGGTTTGTCTAGAGACCCTTTAGACTGGACTTATCTCCCCAGGCTATACTGGGAGATGCTGTGCCAACACAAAGGCAATTAATTAAAGTTTTTTAATTAGCTTTTATTAAACCAACAAGCTTTTAACATCTATTCCCTCCACTCACTAATATTTATCACAGTTCAGTCCGTCCATATTCAGTCCCCTGGGTGTGTTATATCCCAGTATTTGGGAGGGAAATAGAGCTGGGTCCCTTTTATTCTGTATTTGCTCGATTTTTGAGGTTTATTCTGTATTTACTCTGGTTTTGAGGTCTCTGAGGAGGGGGAGGAGGCAGAAAATACTCACTTTCATCATCTCCTCGAGACTTGCCAGCACTTTGTGATCTTGGAAGTTGTTGAGCTCTGCCCTGTAGGCACTCAGATCCTCATAGATGCCCTGCAGGCATTTTCTCTGGGAAAGGCAGAACCATCAGGAAATGTGGGAATCTGCTGTTAAATCCACAAGGAGCAAAAAAAAAAAAGGGGATTCTTATGGGAAATTTGCAATTTACCTTATCAAAAGTTGATCTTTCCAGTGCTGGACAGTTCCCAGTCTGCAAATTAAAGGAGAAATGAGTGTGAATTATATGCCTGTTCCATGAAAATATAGGCTGAAACTTTAATTTTTATATATATAGATATTTATATATATATTTATATATTTATATATACATATATATTTATATATATTTATATATTTATATATTTATATTTTTATATATATTTATATATACATATATATTTTTATATATTTATATATTTATATATATTTATATATTTTTATATATTTATATATATATATAATATATATATTTATATATATTTATATGTTTTACCCCTGGATCTTCAGATGTGCAAGCTTTTGTTGTGTTTATTTGGTTCTTAGTGATATCTTCAAGATCAACCTCTTCAAGGGTACATTCAAATCCCAGGTCGCCAAGTTCCTGGGTAAAAAAGGGAATAAAAAAGAGTCATTGACTCAGTTTCATAGTGCAGTTTATATATATATATGTATATTTATGTATGTATATGTATAAAATATAAATTTACATATATATATATGAATCCTAGGGATGAGGCTGTGTGAGGACTCTGGTCAAATATGAAAGGTAGAAAATAGACTGGGAATAAGCTCAGGCTTTGCACAGCTTTGGTTTATGTGTTGTTGGGAATTGCTCTGCCTCTTCTGCTTTAAATTATTCTCTCAGACGTTGAATCCGTGGAGAACTTTATGTCATTTTAGTTTTCAAAGGTAAAGGATCTCTTAGAAAGTGAAAAATAGCCAATCCCATCCTCACAGACATGTAACCCCCATTTAGTGCTGGGGGTTTTTGGGGTTCCCTGAGGTGGGGGCTGCAAAGATAGCAGGGAATTGTAGCAAAAAGGAAAAGCTCCTGAGCAAACCCCCATCCTGAAGGGCTGAGCAGGGCAGGTGTGAAACCAGAGGGTCCTAAAGGGAGGCTGCAGGGAACATCCACCCTCCTGGGGACCCTCAGCGACCCCAAACTGCCCTCCTGGGCACCTTCACCAACCCATCACTGCCCTCCTGGGCACCACCACTGCCCCATCACTGCCCTCCTGGGTATCACCACTGCCCCAAACTACCCTCCTGGGCACTTTCACCAACCCATCACTGCCTGTCTGGATACCATCACTATCCCATTC